CTCAGCACACCTTGTGACCATCGAGGCGTCGATGTCCCGGCTTGAAGGCCGGATTGAGGCTCTTGAGACGCGGTCGGAGCATCAAGCCGCCGAAATAGCCGACATCCGCGCTGACATTGACGGACTGAAGAAATCTGCTGGCTCTGGTTCTGCCTCTGGCCCTGCTCCTGTCCTGCCTAACTTACTGCCTTCACCGGCTAGTTCACATCTGTCGGACCCGTGTGAGATTTTACTCACTGGACTCCCGACGGATGTGAATTTAACTGAAAAAGAGGCTCTTGACAGAGTATTTACCGCCATGGGACTAACAGAATATAACAAATTCCTGGTTCACACTCGTGCATGGAACCCTAAAAGTAGAAACAAGCCCGCGCCTGATAACACCAGAGCATTTGTATTTAAACTATCATCTCCAAGTACTCGTGACCACTGCATAGTGAATGCGTCCAAGCTAGCCTCAGTAAATACAAATGCCCTTTTCGGCGTGGGTGATGGCAAAGTGAGACTACGTCCTTTGTGGCCAAGCGAGACCTATAGTTTGCTCCAAAAAGCCTATGATGCAGCTCAAAAGCTGAACCTTGATCCACTCATAGTGCGTAATCTTACGGTTTTCATGCGAGAAACTAATGGATCAAAACCAATCCCCATATCAACCGAACACGACATCAGGGCACTAAAAACGAGGACGAGATGACAACAACCACGCAACACTATATCATGATATGCTAATTTTTTCTCGACCATTACTGTGTACTACTACTACTATTGCTACTATTAATACTAGTGTTACTAAACCATTACTACTACAATATGCTATCTACTGCTACTACTGTTACTATTATAGCTACCACTTGACTTACTAATACTATTACTACTGCATTCTACTATGCATGTATAAATACACTACTTAGATACTATGTACTACTATTTGTTACGTCACGTTACTTAATTATAACTTACTATTAATTTTGCTGTTATTGTTAGTATCAGCAATTATATACATAAATGTAATTACCACTGTGCCAGATGGGGTTTACCCTGTGGCCGAATAAAGTTTTTCAATCAATCAATCAATCAATCTCTCTCTCTCTCTCTCTCTCTCTCTCTCTCTCTCTCTCTCTCTCTCTCTCTCTCTCTCTCTCTTCTAATTGTAATAATTATCCGAAATCAAAAGAAGCTTACAATAATAGAAAAAGAGCTTTGAAAAAATTTAGAAAAAATCGTAATCTCATAAATGAAGTTATTGCGGCCGAACACCATGCTAAGATAATTTTTCGTAATGCCAAACGTGATGGTTTTAAAAATTTTTGCGAATTCATCAATCCTTTTACTTCAATGACTCAAATCTGGTCTACGGTTAAAAAATTTCGTCACAGATCTTTAACAGCCGATTTAGCGGAGCTGCAATATTCTCAATTTCGCAGATGATATTGCTTTTTACTCCTGCTCGAAGTACCTTAATCATGCTTTATCGAATCATTAATCTAATTTACTCAAAATCAACAGCCATCTTACTTCCCGAGGTCTCTCAATCTCAGCCACCAAAACTAAAATGATCATCTTCTCAAAGAGAAATATATCTCCTAACAACTACAGTATAACTTTCAACGAAGCAATTACACAGCCACACAAAAAAAAAATTTTCAAATCCACCGACCGGACATAGTGGCCTTATGTTTTTGGTGTCGCTGAATTCGAATCCGGGGTCAGTTTTTCAAGGTTGGCTCATTTTAGAGGTCATTTGAAGGTCAAATAATGGGAAAGTGGTAAAAAATCTGAAAAAATTCATGCATGGGTTTTTGAGGATGCTGAATCTAAATCTGAGGTCGGATGACCTTCAGAGGGTCACTTTCAAGGTCATTTGAAGGTCAACCTACGAGAATTCAATAAAAATTTCCGAAAAAATCACACTTTTGTTTTGAGGGTCGCTCAATCTGAATTAGAGGTCATTTAGACTGTATCCGGCCATGTAAAGGTCATTTGAAGATCATTTTAAGGTCAAATTATGAAAAATGTTAAAAAACAAGAAAATTCTCATATATTGGTTTTCGAGGATGCTGAATTTAAATATGAAGTCAGATGATCCCTACGACCTTGACTTCAAGGTCATTTGAATGTCGAACTTAGAGAATTGAATATAAAAATCCGAAAAAATCACATTCCTATTTTGAGGGTTGCTGAATCTCAATCATTGTTTATATTGACTAAACCTGGCAATTTTAAGGTCAATTGATGGTCATTAAAAGGTCATGTCATGGGTTATCTAGGGAACGCGATAAAATAACAGAAAAAAATTGTGTATAGGTTTTTGGAGCTGAGGAATTCAGATATTTTATTGTCAAGATCAAGGTTATTTTGCATAGTTTTTACTTTTTTCTTTTTTAATGCACCTTTTTTTTCTTCAAACGATCAGCGTATAGGTCGCTGTTTGCGTTTAGTTTCTCTATGGTGGCTCTTTCTCTTCAACATCTAGAAGTTATCAGCCATCATCGCAACATCCCATCTACCTTGATATCGCTGCTCCATATGTTTTATGTCTTGATGAAACCATTCTCCTTGCCCGTCGTTATAATCTCTACAGTCTTCTGGGAACTAAACTGCTTATAGGTGTGCAGGGAATACAGTTCATAAGACAAAATTTTTCTATGAACGCTTCTGTGATTACTTGAAAATTTTTTAAGCTAACCCATGTACTAAGGTTCATCTAATATTCCTTGTTACAATTTTTATCTGATTTATGAGAAAAAATAGATTCTCAATATTTGTAGCATTCATCATGACATTTTGGGGAAATAGAATGTTTTATAAACTGTATTCTCTATATAGCTATACATAAAAGTCCTCAGAAAACTGTTAAGATTTTGGCGACGAGCAAGGAGAATGGTTCCATCAAGACATAAAACATATGGAGGAGCAATATCAAGGTAGATAGGATTTGCGATGATGGCTGGATGTTGAAGAGAAAGAGAGTCAATATAAAAGAGGAAACGCAAACGACCACCATTACGCCGATCGTTTGATGAAAAAAAGATGCGTTACGAAAACAAAAAAGAAAAAACGCAAAATTGAAAATATTTTCTTAATATTTTTCGATTTATTTTTCATTCAAATGACCTTGAAGGTGACTTTATAAAGGTCATCTGACTTCAGGTTTGATCTCAGCATCCTTAAAAACCTATAAATGAGTACTTTCAGATTTTGAAAAGCTTTTTTCGTGATCTGACCTTGAAATGACCTTGAAATGACCTTGAAATGACCTTCAAATGACCTTCAAATGACCTTGAAATGACCTTCAAATGACCTTTACGTGGCCGGATACAGTCACAATGACCTCTAATTCAAATTGAGCGACCCTCAAAACAAAAGTGTGATTTTTTCGGAAATTTTTATTGAATTCTCGTAGGTTGACCTTCAAATGACCTTGAAGGTGACTTCCTGAAGGTCATTTGACCTCGGATTCAGCATTAAAAAGTACGTCCTTGGCAGCAACAAAAACCCGTGTATGAATTTTTTTAGATTTTTTACCACTTCCCCATTATTTGACCTTCTAATGACCTCTAAAATGAGCTAACCTTGAAAAACTGACCCCGGATTTTAATTCAGCGACCCCATAAACATGAAGGCCACTAGGTCCGGTCGATGGATTTGAAATTTTTTTGTGCGGCTGTGTTATTAATAATTCCTCAAAAGCAACCTTTCTAGGCATTACTTTTGACAGGAATGTCTTTCGAAACACACTTTAACAATCTCTTCAACAAAATTAATGATCACTGCAGCATAATTCGCTCTCTTTGCTCCACCCGGTGGGGCTCTCATCCCTCGTGTCTCTCTATAATCTACAAAGCTCTTTTTGTTGGAACCTTCGATTATAGTGCAACAATCCTTCAACCCAATGTTAAACAATGGAACAAACTCAGTATTATTCAACGTCACGCTCTTCGCGTAATTTTAGACTTGAAAAACTCTACTTCGAACAAAATTATTTTTGCAGAAACAAAGCAGCACCCTCTATTTATTCAACATAACTATCATGTGTCAAAATACATACTCAAATGCTTCTCTCATAAAAACCATCCATCTATCAACTCTATAAAAACTCTATCCATAGACCGACACAGACAAAGGCTTACACTACTTCTCTCACTTCTAATCGAACTCCAGCAAACCATGGTTTGACTCTTATCGAATTACTCTTTCCAGATTGAAAATTACTATAATTAGCCGCATGCGTAGTAGTTACTACAACTTAGCTCACAGTTTATTCAGGAAAAATCGTATTGCTTCTTCCTGGTGTGAATGCAATGAAGATATCGAAGACCTCAATCATGTATTTTGGGTCTACCTTAAATATAATGACCATAGATTAACTTTCTTTTCAAAATTAAGAAAACTACATACATTTCCCCTCTTTTCTATCACTGAATTTTTATTAAATCCTGAACCATTTGCTATTGAAATTCTTTGTAATTTCCTTTCAAAATGCAATAAAAAAGTTTAAATATCACTCTTGATCTCTCCATTTTCAATCTCGCGCGTTTCCTCATAGTTGGCGCCACATAAAGAAAGAAGAAGAAGAAGAAGAAGAATCATAATATACTATGAAGACAGAGTATAATCCGAAATGTACATAAGAACATTTGTATTTCTTTTTGCACTCAAGCGTGTTTCTATTAAAAAAACTCATAACCCCAAAATGTCAAGTGTACAAAAAGTATCGTTGATATATTTACATTGATGACGTTATAATACTCTTCTTATTGGCCCCGAGGAAATAAATAAAGATTTTTGGATAAAAAGTGAAGTACGTATATTTTTTGAACAGGATCAGCAAGGATTTTGATTCAAATTTTGAATCAATGATTAATTTACTAAATAGTGGTACACTAAGTTTTGGTTTCTATTTTAACGCAACCTATTACGGTTTCAGGCCCACTGTGCTTAATAGGTATCGAAACGAGGTGTCAGTAGTTATAAATTAAATAATTGGTCAATTTCAAAAATTGAGTTAAAAGAATATTTTATTAATTGTTACTGCAAGTTTCATGAATTAGATTTTCTTAAAATTATAGAGTTTATTAATTACATCACACTAAAAAATCTCAGTGTTCATCATTCATATTCCAACTTTTTGCTTTTTTTAGAGCGTGAGTTTTCGAAGTCAGCGGTCCATGTAGGCGTGAATGGCCACTTTCTTTTTAAATTGTTGTCAATTCCATCATTGGTAATAGTGGCTGTTCTTGTTTCTCTTCTAAAAGGAGCATCTTCAGTTGCTTGTAGCAAAATCTGTCAAAATGCAAAATAATATTAGATTTTTTACATGAAAATTTACAACACATTTTCCGTTATAATATGGTATAGATAATTATGATCATGTTTTATCACAATCATGTTTTCAAGAATATTTTATTTTAATTTTAAGTTGAGGAAAGGATCGATTCTAAATTTATGAATGAAAAATAACACTAATGGTGGTAGCAAGGCCAGTCTGTATTATAGTAGATTTTGCACGTAATAAATATTTCGTTACCACGTCACGTTAAACGGTTTTTAAAATTGTATGTACATTGGTGGGGAAATAGCGCGCATGCGTGGCATGTTTGAGTTTTAATAGATGTGGTAATATGATTATTTTAGGAATTTCACTCAGAGTCAGGCAGCAATTCAGAGATTTTTTTATTAAAACAATACATTGGCTATTAATAGTTTTCAAATTTCCAGTTATATGTTGTCACTGTAAGGCATCCTTATACATCTCTTTTTATTGAAGGATCAATTATAATTTGAAATTGAAATAAGAATACTACAGTTATTACAAAATGTTTCTATATTCAATGTTTCAAAACTATTGCCTTGTTGAAGTTAATTCCCTCAAATTCTAATCAGCAAAAAAATTAATTTTTCTTAAAATTTTATTAAAATTGTATTAAAATTGTATTAAAATTTAGTCAGAAATGTGATTTCTCGTACTAGCGCCCTGAAAGTAACAATTTACGCTGCGCAGCAAGAAAAGCGATTTCCAGGCCACTGGGCATAAATAATATATTACGTGCCTAGGGAGCTAAAAACTCGAAAGCCTTAGAGCACGTGATATTATCAGCCTCGGCTTGGCCTCGGCTGATAAACATGTGCCCAGAGGCTCTCTTTTCATTGGTGCGTATACTATTTTCATGAATCCCCGGCAGACAATAACTCTAGAAAGTGTAGAGCGAATTATTGTTTTTTGTCGAGCGTAAAGTATACTAAAATGTTAGTTTTACATGGTGAACCGACTTATAGATCACAATTGCTGGTCAAAGTTGGAAATACACTATACGGAAACTTATTTTGTTCATTGGACCATGGAACGTCATATGCTCATACATGTTCCATATCAACTAAATCCGTGTTCCAACGGACAAAATAAGTGTCCGTATAGTGTACAGTATTTTTTCTCAGTTTAAGGCATTAATATATTATTTTCCTATCATTAGATATGACATTATTTAATATTTTTTAAAACTATTAGAGAAAAATTTTTTATAGGAGATTTTAATTTCTTGTCATACTTTTTGTTAGTCTAGAAACTCTTACCTGCATATGTTGTAAACATTCTTCTTGCATTTCAAGAGACATTTTATGGACTGATGTATTCTGCTTATTAAACATGATTGCATTTTGGAACATGAGCATAACGTCTCGTTGAAAATGGGTTGTACATCTTATGGAGCCATTGTCTATATTTTTTTTTAAAGTGTGTAAATCCATTGGACGGTAAATAATCGAATGATAACCAGGAGCTTGGTCATCAGTTATAGGTCTCAAAAACAAGGATGCATATTTATGAGTAGCCAATCTATTATAGACTAGCAAAATAGACTTTTTCCATGCTCTGTAATCAGGAGTTTCCCCACTATTTTCATTTTCTGTTTCATTTTCTAGAATAGTATTTTGCTTTTTAGAATATGTTTTCATGGCTTTGGTACCGCTATATTTACTCATTATAGGCTCTTCTTCTATTTCTTCTGAAATATCTTTGGAATTGTTTTGTTCATTTTTTTCAGAGTCGAAATTTTTTGAACTTTTTTGCTCTTGAAAAATGTTGATTTCATACTTGTTAGGCGATTTATAGTTCGAAAAAGATTCGCTATCCTTAACTAAGAGTGATTTCTTGTTTTTATTACTATTTGAAATACTTGAATCAGTGGAATTCTCACGTGAACGTTTTTCACAAATTTCGGCACTAGGTTTTGTTTGAACTATTATTGGTTGCATCACTTGAGTTTTAATAGTATGAGATAAGTCTTTATTCTCGGTTGAATGACAATCTTTCGAAGGACTTTTGAAATCATTCAACGACTTTTCAGCAATTATTTCGTTTGAAATAAGATTACTGCTTATCGTATCTGCAAGAGTAGTTTCTGATGAAGATGCAGTCACCTAGAGCAAACGGCCATTATAAATAAGTTTTAATGTATAATTTTTTATATCTAAGATCTAAGATACTTTCATAAAAATTAATCAAAATTTGTTTCAGGTAATTTAGGGGCTAATTTAGTCTATACACAATAAATATTTTTTTAAAATTTCAGAGCAATCCGAGCTTTATAAGTATACTTTCTTTTATTTTATGCATTTATATTATTTATTATATTTATATGAAAAAAAAACTTTTTTTTTTATATGGTTCCAGTGATTTTTCGAAAACTACTCGGTCGATTTGTCTGAAATTTCAACTAATATTTGTTATGTATATGGGTCAAAATAATACTTTTTTACAAAACTGTGCGTACGTATGTCACTGATCTTGACACGCTTATGGTGTGTTATAGTACATGGTGAAAAGGTCCCAAAACCAAAATCTTAGGCCCCCTACCCCCCACTTCCGATATAAACGTCTATTTTCGATCTATATTTATTCTGAAGGCCTGAAGTAATTAAAAAATCTGGAAAAATTCATAAAAATACTTTTCAACAATTCAAACAACCTTGAATTTTTTCAGATTTTTTGAGCGCTTCAGGCCTTCAGATAAAATCATTGAAAATTCTGAAAATCGAGATAAGGGGATATGAGCTGATATAAAATTGGGACATTTTTCAAGTTTTTTATCGCATTGAAAAACATAACCTCAATTTTTTTCAGATTAACTAACACACCTCTTGAAGCCAAAAACCGCTTTTATTAACGAAAATAATTTTTTTAGGACAATACGGAGCCTCGAAAAATCTGAAAAAATTTTTTCTTATTTTTTTCATCAAAATAAATAACCTCAAATTTTTTCAGATTTTTTAATTGAAAGCGATAACTTCTAGAGCCGAAAAATGCTATTTTTAACAAAAAAGGTTCCTAGAACCCGATGGTTACGGTAAAAAAATTTGAAAATATTTTGTTTGTATTCCTTGTCAAATTTAAATAAATTTTGACCAATTCAATTTTTCTATTGAAGCCTCCTAGCTCAATCTAGAGCAACAAAATAGTTTTATCATTCCTTAATGTCTTCAGAAACGTTTTCAGAATTTTGCATTAATCTTCGTGATGCTCTAGATTGAGCTAGAAGGTTACAATAGAAAACTTGAATTGGTAAAAATTTATTAAAATTAGACAAGGAATACAAAAAAATTTACTTTCAAATTTTTTAAGGTGATGCCTTGGCCACAATTTTTACCGATCGAGTATTAAAAGTGTAAATTTTCATAACTTTTTTACTAGACCGATTTTCAAAAATCGGCTCTGTGGAGCCCGTCGTATTGTTGCTGTGAATAACTGCACCAAATTTCAGCCAATTTCATGGGGTAGTTTTCCCGGAAAACAGGATCAAAATTTTTTATCCTGCAAACAATAGTCAAAAATTTCAATCCTCTTTTCCGGGAAAACTACCCCATGAAATTGGCTGAAATTTGGTGCAGTTGTTCACAGCAACAATACGGAGGGCTCCACGGAGCCGTTTTGCGAAAATCAGCCTGAAAAAAAAGTTACGAAAATATACATTTTCTGAGCACGGTCGGTAAAAATTGTGGCCTAGGCATCCCCTTAACCGTAACCATCAGGTTCTAGGAACCTTTTTTGTTAAAAATAGCATTTTTCGGCTCTAGAAGTTATCGCTTTCAATTAAAAAATCTGAAAAAATTTGAGGTTATTTATTTTGATGAAAAAAAAAAGAAAAAATTTTTTCAGATTTTTCGAGGCTCCGTATTGTCCTAAAAAAATTATTTTCGTTAATAAAAGCGGTTTTTGGCTTCAAGAGGTGTGTTTATTAATCTGAAAAAAATTGAGGTTATGTTTTTCAATGCGATAAAAAACTTAAAAAATGTCCCAATTCTATATCAGCTCATATCCTCTTATCTCGATTTTCAGAATTTTCAATGATTTTATCTGAAGGCCTGAAGCGCACATAAAATCTGAAAAAATTCAAGGTTGCTTGAATTGTTGAAAAATATTTTTATGAATTTTTCCAGATTGTTTAATTACTTCAGGCCTTCAGAATAAATAAAGATCGTAAATAGACGTTTATACCGGAATTGGGGGGTAGGGCTGGAAATATGGATTATATCAAAATTCAAATTTTTTCGACCTTTTTTAGCAGGAAAAACCGAGCCTAAAAAGGTTTTTTTCTATTTTGTAATTGCGCTTAACTTAGAACTCCCCTTATAAAAATTTCCTATAGGATCTCGCGAAATTCCTACAGGAGTCCTATAGGATTCCAATAGGAATTTCGCGGGATCCTATTGGAAATTTTTATAAGGGTCTCGACGCCATTCCTCAATTGTAAAAGTTCTTAGAAATTTTTGTTAAAAAAACTAGATTGAGATTTTAATTGAGTTCTTGTTAAAAATGAACAACTTGAAAGTCACGCGTAAATCTAAAGAGCCTTTAATTAATCCGATGGCCTAGAGATTTTTCGTATCTAATGAAGATCACTTGAATTTACAAGTTTTTCTTACGTATTTTGACCCCTTAAAACTGAATATCTTTGGTGGATTTGCGCCAAGAGTTCAAGAAATGGTTTACTAACAAATAATTATTTGAAAACGAAAAGATTTTTTCAGCAAAACAAATCATTCCTAGATTTGTTGACGAAAAATCCCTGGGTCAGCGGACTAAATAGACTATGAGTACCCAACAAGTATAACGTGTTATATGCTACAGGTTAATTTACAATAATTGATTTTTTCTATGTTTCAAGTCAAATTTATTTGAAATCTCCAATAACTTACGGCTGAACTTGAAGTTGTTGTTATACTAAGCTTTGTATGTTCATCATATATTTTAATGGGTGATTTTACTTCTACTTTTTCAGTATTTATTTTCTCCTGTTGAAATTTGCTCGAAGTCTCACTTTCAACCAATTTTTTTCCATCATTAGCTATTAAATTATGAGTCTCAAATTTAGTAGATATATTTTCATTTGTTGCTTTAATATTTGGATCTTCTTCCTTTTCTTTTTCATTACAAGATTTTTCAGGAGGTAATGATATACATTCTGTATCTAAGCACTTTTCCATTGAAGTAAATCCATCATTTTTATTACTTGTTTCAGTAGAAGTTTCACTGCAATCTGTTTCTTTTGTCTTGTCGCAAGCATCAATTGGCATAGAAATTAAATTGGATTTTGTTGTTTGTATAGACGTGCCAATGATTTCAGCAATATTAGGTGAACTTGAGTCAATATCCTCAATTGCCATTTCACTCACTGCTGAATCAGAGTGAGAAAGAGAGTCATTCGAATTTTCTATTTCTATTTTCAACGAAGGAATAGAACATTTTGAAGAGTTATTTGTTAAATTTGTAGAATTTTTAGCAATCTGGGGGACAGTTGCTATCTCTTCATGAATCAATTCTTCAATATCGTCAATTATTTCACTAAGGTCATCTTTAATTTTTTCTGAATTTATTGCATTTGATACAGGTGTTTGGATTTGTTCTTCAATTTGAATCTGATTATCTTCCTTTGTCAAAGGAATAGTATGCAATTTTATAGATTCAGATTTATTCGATGTAGGTTGCTCTGGTATAGAAACAATTTGAGGACTATTATCTGCATTTTTTTCATCATTTAAGTTGCTGATATTTGCAAGGTCATCATTTAGAGATTCATTAATATTTGTTGTAGTAGATTCATTAATTTGACTGGTTTTCACATCAGAGCAAAAACTATTTGTTAATTCAGATGTAGGATCTTTATTACTCAAATTGAGACTTTTGCACCCACAAGAAATTTCATTAGTTTCAGTTAGATGGTGGCAATGTTCTTTTTCACAAGTTAAATTGGGAAATTTCGATTTAGTGGACTCATCTTTTGAGGTCTGTATGGCTTTCCAATTCTTTCTCAATTTTTCATGAGAAATATTTTCATTTTGAAGTGTGTTTATTTCACTTTTCAGAAAATAATACTCTTCTTTTAACGATAATAATATTTTTGCAAGCTCTGCAATTCGGTCTTGACTAAGCTTACGAACAATAAAATCACTTGCGCTTTCTCCATAATTTTTTTTCTTTTTAATTTTTGAATTAATACTTTGAAGTAAATCATTGTATTGATGTTCACAAGCTTCATGAGAATAACAACTACTTGATTTGAGATTAGCTTTATCTACAAAAGACTTAATCTTTTGCGAGATACTATTCCAATCTTGCTCATCCAATTTGAGTACACATGAAGCAAGACACAATTGATCTCGTATGCTCCATTGATTACGAGATGCTTGTTCGATTTCTTCTGCTGTAAACAAAATATAATAATTTAAATGTTTTTATTCATAATAAAATAAACAATGCTATGAGCTCTATTCTAAATAATGAATTATCAGTATTATAATGATAAAAAATAATATTTAATGCTAAGAAGAAATAGAAAATTAAAGATAACAAAAATTAATATTAGAAATGAATAATGAGATTTTTCAATTAAAGAGGTAATATTTAGTTTATTAAAGAAAAATTACTTGGGTTTGGGAAAAATTTATAATAAATACATGAAGGAGTTTGCTAAATTATTGAAAATACAATTCATGAAATATAATGATTAAAATAAATTAAGGTTAGGTAAAATAATGCAAGGATAATTTTGAAATCAAACAGAGAAATGGTTTTTTTACCAAATTTTTGTTCACATATAATACAATGTTATAAATGTATGCCAAAACTAAGATGTTTATAAGTTTAATAACCATCATAAAAATATTTAAATATTTAACTATTTAAATATAAATTGATATTGACTATGTATTTTTTCAGGCAGCATATTATTATTGATACCAAATAATTTAAAAGCTATGTGAAGAACAATTGTGGTTTACTTACTAAATTAAATGAATGATCAATGTATTAAGAAAAAGTGAAATCAAAATGATTTGATAGATATTAAAAACCCAATTTTGGGTAACATTTAAAAAACTATTTCATCACTTTTTTTATGAGTATAAGTTTATGAAATCTATACACAACATTAATGAACCGCTTCAACTCACTGAAGAATTATACAGAATAAATCTTTTTTACCACAAAATACAATTTTTTGATTTTAGACATTTTTTCAAAAAAATAACAAAAATATTCGTCAAATCATTACATAAAAATGAAAAAGTGAAAAAATGAAAAAATGAAAAAAAAATTAACTGCTGTATGTAAAAGCTTCTTATATAGCATGATTTCACTTCCAATTTATTATTTTGAGTTATAAGAGTTATTTGTTTTCAAAGCTCTCAATTATTCTCATTGACAAAGTTAAACTATGATTTCCTAGAATGAGGTTAATATCAATCAAATGTTTGTAAAGGTTTCATGACAGTTAATATTTCTAATTGTTAGCAACGAAAGATAATCATATGCAAGAAATCAAAAATTGTCCTTACCCTTTTGTTCTGAAGACATGGTTTTGATTTAATAAGTATACACAGTAATATTGTATATAAATAAGAATAAACGTTTAATATAACTGGCACAAATTGTAGAACCAAAAATAATTTTCATAAATGATCAACAAAGACTTGGTATTATTCACTTTCATAATTATTTTTAATAATAGACTATAAAGCTTTTTTAAGAAAAGATTGTTTTCACTTATTCAAACATTGCATATTCGTGTATGTATATACATACATATAATAAACTTTGCATCTCAAGTCGTCGATTCGGCGATATTATTCGATACTATAACCCAGTATAGCGAAAGTATCGATACATCGATACCTGAGATGGCTCTTTCGGTACAAGTTTTTCTACAATGAGTGCTTGGTCAAAGTTAACGCATGGTGCAGTACGAAATGTGCCGCACGGTAAACGTCACCTATCATCAAATCAAAAAATTTGTTGAAAGTATTTTTGAACGCAGCCTTTCGAGAATAAAAGCGTTAGTTTTTTCATCATTCAAAATTTTATCGAAGGTCGCATTGAAAAATCAAACTTTCTATATACGATGTTTTAGCTACAATGATCGCCAACCTATATATTTTACGATTTTATTATAAATTTTATTGATTTTATACTTTCAGAAAATATAACTTACATCAATATTTTACATTTATATATAAAAAGTTATGAGCAAAAATAGGTAGCTACCCGTAAGAGTCTAAATGTTAAAAATGCGACATTTTCAAATCCTCTTTTCTTTGAAATTTCTCAAGACAAGTTCGCTGGTCTGATATGATTTGTGCTCGTTACGGATGATTGTGAAGTTCTCATCCACTGCAATTTCTACGAGGATCATACATGGATTCCATAATAGATCAGAAGTATTTTAAGCTTTTCCACGTGGACAGTCAATCGAATCATGATTCCGGATTCAAGTCCGACTCTCGGAAAATAATTGTTAAAAATAATTGTTCAAATTTGTTCAAAATTAATTTTTTTAGCTCAAAATTCAAGCAAAAGCTCACAGAAATCCAGGTCGAGAAAAAGCTGGAAATCTCCTTAGAAAAATTTCATATAGGATCCGCGAAATTTCTTCTGGAATCCTACAGGACTCCTGTAGGAATTTCGCGGGATCCTACAGGAAATTTTTCCAAGGGTCAATACATGAATTTTTTGACCTAGAAATCGATATGAACATTTGGATGATATTCCTCATGGATTTCCACTCCACCCTATGAAGATTTCGATAGAGATTTACTGGTCAAAATCGTCATAAGAAGAGTTATTTAATTATTTTATTGGAGACAGAGCCCATCTGAATCGTAGCGTCACTGAGGAAATCCAAATTATACTCCACACGAAATCCGCATAAATTTTGGCACTTTAATTTGAAAGAGGGAAACTCTTGCAATAAGCTTTTTTCGAGCAATTGAGGAAGTATAAGCACCATATTATTTTATGTTATCAACGATAAGTAGCAATGGGGTTTCTTATAATTAATTTTCGCAATTTTTCGAAAAATTTAATCAATTGACAGTTCTATTATTTTGCTCACACTTTTTTTAAATCGAGGATATCGTGTCGAGGGACTGAATTAAAATTTTTTTAATGCTTGGGCTGCTGGGGTGGGGTGCGTGACAGCTGGTATTAGAGGAGTAAGTTCAATGTACCTATATTGTTACTCATATGTATTCAAACCAATAACATCTACTGCAGGAATTTTCTACGATTATTTGAATATGTCATCTTCTAAAATTTGCTTAATGTTTCATGAATGAAGTTCTGTGTGTTTTTTAAAAATGTGCTTGTAAACATTTAAATTACTCTTGACTAATGAATTAGTTCAAAGTATCAAATTGTGATTACCAAAATTATAAATGATTATTTTGTTTACATTGGACTGACATTAGTTTGCATTTTTTGTTAAACATAAGGAAACCGATCATCAATTTATTGGTAAATAATAATTGACTAATTTCTTCTAAATAAACTTTTTTAATGTAAATTATGTGATATATTATTATATTTTGAAGATTTTTCCCACATTTTTTGAACTTCAATAAGTTGAAATTTCAATTTTTAATAGAGTAGTAATAATTTTGAATGATTAAGATACAAATAATTTTTGTTTTGGTACATATTAAGTGAAAATCCATAAATCATTTATTATATTATTTCAAGTTTCTCTTATTTATTTTTTAACCTCTCATGAAAAAACAGCAAAAAATTAATAATTTATTAAAAGTTAACATTTAACTTCAAGTAAGTAAAACAGTAATTAGATAACTAAAATTTTTTAGCTTCAAATTCATCATTGAACTATTTTATCAATTTTTCTAAAGTCTTGGGAAATGTTTTTGAAAATGTACAAAACTAGTTGCCTTTGACAACTAAGTATAAATAATAAAATATAATACTTGTTTATCACTTTAAAGGAAATTAAGATGAATAATTTTAATAATTCCAATGTGTCTAGATTATAATTAGGTTTAAATTAATTATAGTTTAGTATATAAGTTTATAATATACTTAATAAGTGTACAGTTTTGAAAAAAATGTTAACTCTAAGATAATAAATTCACATCATTTTCAAGTATTTTTATTTTTTATTGAGTAATTAATTAATCAAATACAATAACAGAATATTGTTGTTTATGTCAAATACATTGCAAGTAGGTATCATTACTTAATCTAATAAACCTTTTGGTAAGTCATTAAAGAAAAATGACAGTGCTAATGAAATGTATTCCTTAACAAAAAGAGAAATGATAAATGCAAATAAAATCAAAAAATGTTTTTATAATTTGATATTATAAACTATTTGTAAAAGATATAAAACTCTTTACAAGTTTATAAATTTAAATCAGCATTTGATTAATGCTTATAGCATCTTTATTATATGAAGTATAATCAAATTGAAATAAAAAAATAAAATAAAAAACTCAAAGTAAATTACGAGTTCAATTAGGGGAGGGTATAGTCCTGTCCTTCAAAAATTTCGAATTTTTTTATTTGATTGTTTATACTTTCAAGAGTACTCCGTGAAAATTTCAGCCAAATCGGAGCAAAATTTACGAAAATATTGAACTTTTAGTTCGAATATCTAATATATGGTTAATTCTCCTGAAGTTTGCTTTTTGCATGTTTACATGCCATGTTCTTAAACTAGTGAAGATGAGCCAAAACTGGCTCGGTCGTTCATTCAATATTGTTGTATTCTTCATGATTGGACATAAATATTTCAATTTTGTAGTGCCAGTTAAATTTGCCGTGAAGATATACATGTCAAATGTCATTTCCGTGGCGTGTCTAGATCTCAAAATCAACTCTATTTGCATATACCATGCATTGTCATAAGCACCTGGCCCTATAATAACTACGAAACCAGCTTCTATACATCCAAAGTAAAGTTCAAGTCTATCATAGGGCCTTGAAAAATGTTTTAAAAAAATTTCCCACACAATCGAAAAATGTCTTGGATTTTAATCATACTTCTGAATAATTTCAAATATACTGCCTGCTTTGGGTCGCTAACTCATTTTTAATGTCCCTAAATACGTAAATATCAAGTATTATAACCCAGCTTTCGCTTAGTGTAGGTTGCGGGTTCAAATTTTACATTTTAGCTATGCAGCGATAGTTATTCTATTGGAAAATTCCCGTGTGTCAAAAAAACTGTCACTTCCGTGGAAATGAATATCTCGAGCTATGATCATTCTTTTTAACCGCTCGCCCCGTCAAAATACTCGTTTTTCATGACCGAATTTCTGGTTGTGCGGAAAATTTTGTGCGTTTCTTATTTTTCATACTTAGTTGATCAAAGCCGCGATTTGTCACCTCCGTGTGTGTCACCTCCGTAACGGAAAATAGTCAATTTTAAGCATAAAATCGGACATAATTTTCGTAAAACGAAATCTCAAGGCCCCAGATTCAATGATTATTCATATTTTATGGTTTAAAAAAGGGTAAACTAGTTCGCGTCGTTCAATGTGACAAAAAAATTTTTACCATTTTTTTATTTTCTATACCCGAAAAAGCAGACTTCGGGAGAATCAACCATATAATGTTGTATCTTTAAACTGCGATTTCTCAAAATGACATTTTTCAAATCGTTGAGAAACGTCACTTAAAAAGTATCCAATCGATCCTTTTGGAATTTTGCACAGTTCTTTATTAATCCTTCTTTCGAAAATTTTTTTGTTTATAACAAATTTTCCGAAAAAAGGTCGATTTTTCATATGTGGACGCAATTTTAACGTTTTTTTCAACTTCAAAATTCAAAAAATTACTATTAATGAAAAAACTCTATGTCAGTACTTTTTTTTTTGTAATGCGAGCGATGGGCTCGGTTTATTTAAACAAAAATGTATTACAGTACATTTGTGGATTGTGGCTACATATGTTATGTAAAGCGGAAAGGCGGTAAAAAATATATATTCTTCATGCCGCATCGTCCGCTCATCTTCTTTCGGCCATCTCTCAGACTTGTTATGACTGAGTGGGCGAAGGTGGCTACCGTGAGCCAGTTTTTTTGTCCGCTAGCATGAGCTGGACGATATTTTCAGGCCTGGCAACTTCTGGAAGCCGGTGATGGAGCTTCTCTCTTCCCTCCTCGAATCGAGGACAGCTGAAGAAAACGTGCTCGGCGTTTTCGACCGTGTGGGGACAGGCTGGGCAATCTGCGCTAGCGTTGAGGTCGTAGCGTTGGCTGTGGTGTTTAAAATAGCCGTGGCTTGTCAAGAGCTGGGTGAGGTGGTAGACTACACCTGTCCGTGTCTGACAACCTGATGTTCGGGATCAGCCTGTGCGTCCATCGTTCTTTTGGCGAACGATCCCACCGGCTCTGTCATCTTCGTATTGGCGTTCTTCAGCTCTCGCGTCCTCATGGCGGCGCTGATAGAACCGGCTACGCTCGTCTGCTAGTAAGGCCATCGGTGGTATGCTGGCAAGGACGTAGGCATCGTACGAGAGGTGCGGGCGACCACTGATTACATGTAGACAGGTTCGCCGATGGATTGCTCCCGCCCGACGCATGCCGGCCCGTATTCCGGTTCCGCAGCCCCAGATGGGGGCGCCGTAGAGAAGGATCAAGTCGATGAGCCGCCTCCGACTGCTCCGGGGCCACCGATGGTCGGTCTGTGGAAAGGCTCCCGCCACTCTCGAAGCCTTCTCGCTGGCCGCTCTGAGGTGATCGTTGAATGTCAACCTCGCGTCCAGTTGTAGGCCCAGATAGCGGATACAAAGAGAAGAGGCCATGAAGCAGTCGCCTACTTCAATGGTGATGGTCT